TTAATGAAAGCGTATTTGGCATTCATTCAAATCTCTGCCTTCCCCAGTGCTGTGAAAAACTGCTCCCCAGCGGAAATCCACCGTTTTCACAGAAGTAAAAGTACTCCTCTGCAAAAAAATGAGCTTTCATCATTTGCATTAAATGTAATTAAATAATGTAATTAAATTGTTGCAGTAACCAGTGTATCTCCGCATGCTACTTGGCTTCTGAAATGCTCAGCATGTATTTGCAATCCAGATTGAAAAGAACTGTACTCACAGCAGAATTCTGCAGTGTCATCTCAGGCTAAAATGTTTGTTCAGATCTTAAACAAACTTCACCAAATAAGTGGTGTAGAGATACAGGAAAACAAACCAGCAGATGTGACTGTGAGGCATTACAGAATAGTAAGTAAAATTTAATAAAAACTTCAAACAAAAAGGTAGTAATATGTCCTTACGAAGGACACTGAATTGAAAACAAACAAGACAAAGCAGTTTGTAAGTGATCTCTCCTACACAGAGGGATTTATTCCATTGAATAAATGACTCTGTTGTCTTCTATATACAATGTAAATTTAATAGCAATACAAAATGTTGTTATTGCTTCTTATTTCACTATTTTAATGATGAAATGGCAATGAAGTTGTATTTGGTACTGCAAGAAAGAGAGGCATTACTTGTAATAGTACCAACTGGAGCCAAACATCATGGAAGTCAATGGAAGGACACTTATTGCTCAAAAAGGCAGGCAGAAAATTTAGGGTCTAACCTACAAGTGTGGTCCCAAAACTGTATTAATACCTTCATTTCAGTGGAGGGGTGGAGATGGAGGAGAAAAGAAAGGGCGGGGGAAAAAAAAGACACTGCCTTCATAATTTTACATGAACACTTTCTGTTACCTCCATATACTCAGTTTTGTCCTGGACCCACCTAGAAATGCTCCCATGAAAATATTTCTCCTACTAGCATGCCTGCGTTCCTAGATGCACAGATTAAGAGGTTCGGTTTCCATGAAAATACTTCTAAAATTCTTTGCCGGTAACAAAAGCAATGTCCTGCACACTTGGTCCTACCTGATCTACAGATGCTGACAGGAAAGCACTGTGTTACCACCAGCTCATACTCCAGCTCCAATGAACCTCTCATGGACCAGGGAGCCAAGGATTCATTTTATCTCGAATTGGCCTGTTCAACTTGACACACGTCAGTTCCCACAGGTAACAACTACTTCTGTTGTTATTGACTGATTAGGCATTATACCAACAGCTGGAAGGTTTTAAAATATACATACTACATGCAAGTCAGTTACAAGCTACCAGCTCTGAAGACTTTTCCCTGTAGGTGAAACAGGGGCAAGAACTGAGAAGAAATTATCTGTTTGGATGCGTGCACATGGTGAATTCTGCAGAGCCACTTCCTCAGTGGAAGGGTACCCATCTCCTTAAAAGTCTCACCGCATCCAGAGGAATTGCTGGTAACACTTGGCAGGGGACAGAGATACCATTTCATCCTACCAACATGTCACCTCTCTGCTTTGAAGGTATCTAAGAAAAAATTACGGTGATCCTGGCACTACTCCTCCTTACTCTGTGGAGACACGCTTTCAGCAGAGCCGTTTTGTTATTTATTAAACTAACAAAAATGAAACTAAAAAGATCCCTGTACCTGCTCAGTTTCATACTGGATTAAGCTGATCCCAGCGTCTTCAACCCTGAGCCACACAAGGGTATGAACGCGATGTCTGCATTATCCCCTTTGTGAGCTGTACCAGCTGAGCTCAGTCACAGCCCTTCACTAATATCCCTCTATGATATTGCATCTCAGATTTATTTGCACTTCCCTTCAGCTCTAGATGAAGCAAAATACATATGCAGTCAGAGGACTAGCAGCAATCACCCTGCAACTCCCCGCAGAGCTTCAAAAGCAGCCAAGGGCTCCTTTAGGCAGAAAAACTTATGATCAGTTTAACTAGTGAAAGACGCTGTTCCAGTGTATCTACCTACAAATAGCTCACCAGGCCTATGGTCTGTTCCAGAACAAAAGTGACTGGCTTTTTACTCCACACACTGATAATTATTCTGGAATGAAATGAGTTTTTATTCCAGAGTAGGGTTGCCCATCAGGGAACCACTGCAGCACAGACAACAGCATCAGAATAAGCTATGGCAGTGTATGAAAGAAAATTTCTAAGCACAGAAAGCCTAACAACTCAGATTGCGGAGATATTATCTCTGACCTACTTTGCTCAAAGTACCATAGAGCTATCTCCACACAGACATCCAATTATTTTTTGAAATCAACAAGTGCTTTTGTGCTACACAGAATTAATACAAGCTAAAAAAGAGAGTAGAGGAGGATGATAGCTGAAAAGAAGTGTTCTTTTTGTAGCTTTCGCAGTACAGGAATTGATTTCACAAACATGCTCATCCAAGCAATGTAGCTCATTCAGTAGACCTTCAACTGCCATCAAAGAGTAATTCTTAGCTTAAAATCAGCATGCCCATAACAGAAACAAATGGACGGAAAAGAGCAGAATAGTTCTTTAGAAACAGCCCAGCTGTCTCGTGCATCCGACACTCCCACATACAAATGTTTTCATTGAAGGGGAAAAAAGTGCCAACGCTGAAGCTGAATACCTTCATTAAAAATGGCCATCAAAACCTATCTACGTACCATGCAAAGTGTAACCTAAGACACTAAGCACGTTCCCAGAGAAGACCACACCAAAAAAGGACACTTCTGGAGTTCTTACAATGCTTTCAAAAGCAACATTCCTAATAAAGGATTTTACAAGGCAATAAAACACTTTACTAGGTAATTAAATTCTCCTAAGTTGGCTTTTCCTAACTGCACAGTTTATTTACAAGCACAGCTGTCCCTGGAGATTAACAAATTCTGCGTTGAACACGAGAAACATGAGTGTGGTTTTTTGCTTCTCTAAAACCTTGTGAAATCTTGAAGAGGTTTGAGAGACAAATTTAGAACAAACTGATTTAAGGAGAATAAATCATTAAGTATTCCAGTAAATGGTGTGGTATAACATTATGGGAAGAGTCACTTCTATCTCAAGAGCACAGTTAATCTCACTTAAGTCAGAAAGTCCACTCTGGTGCAACCTGCTGCAAAATTTAGCTCAGTTAGTGCAGATACGAAATTTGCTACAATTTATGGGACAACAGTGTCTGTTTCTCTGATCTGTGAAAATTAAAACCTTGCTCAACTGGCAATACAGAAGGTTTAATATATGACAGCACCTCTGCACCATAAGATACTATTTCTTAGAACAGCTCTGTACCTTCGATAAGTTATTGAGTGAAAGAGGTGAGAGAAAAAAATGTTTTCTCTAACTGAAAAATAATAAAAAACCCTCAAATTAAAATTCTATGCTAAATAAAATTCTTAGGTCAGACTGGAAAGAAATTTAGTTTCATCTTAAAAATTTTCTTTCCAGACCCTGATAAAAAATTGTTACTAATGCCTTTAACATTCATTAGAAAAACACAATTAAAATAGTACTAAGAGAAAAAATAATTCTCCATCTGAAAGCACTTGTGGTAGCCTATCTGCATGCAGAAGCAAGATGAAAAAGGTCCATTATTAATGAAGCCTTAACATTTAATCAATGCAACTTCCACTTTCTAACACTAAATTCTGTAGCTGTAACAACACCAGAAAAATACCGCCAATTGCAAACTGGGAGTAGAGACTCTGAAAACTGCACTTCTCATAGCATGATTAGTTAGTCCAGTAAATACCTGCTGCCACCTTGTTGTCAGCTTGGTGTGACCACCATCTGAAAATGAAATTATTCGGCAGAAAAAAAGTACAGCATGTGCAGCATATGTGATATAGATCTGAACTGAATGATGTATTACGTTTTTGCTTGGTTTTTGTTTTGGGTTTTTTTTAAACTAGAATACTGGTTGATTTTGGGTTTTTTTCCAAGGCTGATTCACAAAGGTGTCTTGGGTTTTGGCCTGAGGTTTAGCCTTAGGTTTAGGCCTGAAAACGGCCAATTGCATTCCCAGTACCAGCAGACTACAGCTCACGTGCATTCCCAGTACCAGCAGATTTCAGCCCATGTCCTCTACTCTCTTTTTTCCTTGTACTAATTCTGTGTAGCACATACTCATCAATCCTCAAGGAAGGATGCCTTTCCCTATTGAGGCTTATGAATCCCTTATGAATCAAATTTGCCTCAATGATCTCCAAAACAAGAAAATTTGAAAATTACTGTTCTCTATAACTCTTGGAGGGGTTAGCAACCTGGAACAATATCTACGAGAGACACAATATTGAACAAGGGTTACCCAAGCTTTGCTCTTAGAAATCCTGAGCAAAAGTATGCACCTACTCTCATTAGGGGACCAACAAGCATGGGCCATATGAGCACAGAACTAAGTAATGACTGGTTTCCTTAGGATTTACTTCTGATTATTAAATTCTTTGATGTCTAACCGTACAGAAATGGCATTATAATTTTTCCCTATGTCTGTGATACCTGAAGTCTTTCTGTCCCTTCTGGATTCTGTAATCTTAAATAAGAAAGCACAGACCACGTTGTAAAAGCAACTCACCTATTTCAATGAACCTTGTAGAAACGCAGTATCTTTGAAATAGTTATATTCAAACTTAGCTGAAATTAGTTAACAGGTTTGAGATTTCTCAGTAAGGCTTAAGCAAAATTATGTACAGAGGAATACACAGAGTGGAACAGCATAAGCTTTACTTCAATAGGAACAAAGGCTGAGGACACTCAAATATTCATGGCACAAGGGACAAAGCCACTCTCTCTCCCACACAGCACTGAAATGGCAGCTAGTTACCTTGCTTCCTCCTGTTAGGCTAGCATTGCAAGTTCTGATGCTTTTATTCCCAAACTCAAGTGAAGTACATCAATTATTTACTAAAAAAAAATCCAAAAAACAACCTTTGTTCTCAGTAGAATAAGTTTAACATGGAAAGTATCACACTATGACTTGCAACAGATACACATGCAATAGATCATACTCATATACCATGATATATGGTGCTGCTGTTGCTGTTAAGATATGAATCGACCAATGGTGCTTGTTCCTCCGAATGTTTCATCCTGCGCGTTCTCGTGCGACTGTCCACATTGGACTGAACCATTAATGGCTCCTGGCGCTTTTTCTTCTGCTTCTGTTCTAGCAAAGCTCGCTGAGGAAAATAGAAAGAAAAGCATCTGTTACTGGAATCCAAACTGTAGCCATCTATGATGAAAAACAACGGGTATCTTTACACCTCCTCTGGTTTTCCAGTGGCAGCAGTTGGCAAGTGGGATATTGGGATATTGGGTTATAGGAAATCTTTCCAAAAAAATCACAACCAACCCACTGCTAAAACACCTTCTGCTGAAAACAGCAAAGAAGTAAAATAGATCTTTCTGAGCAGTCTACCAGCTGCCAGACCTGGCTTGGAAAGAACCTTTGGGAAAACAACAGTGTGAGAGCATTGGCTGTGAAGCAATGAGAGGGTAGGTAAGGCCATGAGGCAGGGATGCCAATTTAAGTTTCCGTAAATTAAAAGCAGGTAATCTGCTAATTAGAATCAAGTGATAACGCTGGACATGAGCCTAATTTAACAACTACACAAGATGAACTTTAATTAAACTCTTGAATTTCTCAGCTAGACTGCTGAAAACCAAAACCTTCAGCATCCAATGGGACCATAGGCACCTCTTTCTTTGAGCCCTCTTCTGCAACCTCAGAGAACTTAACTGTTCATTTTACTTACCTATTACCTTATCATTTCTCTGCTCCTGTACAGTGTATTTTTGCTTTTAGAAAGGAGACGGACTAAAACTGAAGAACAAGAATGGAGAATGGACTTTTTCAGCTCCATAACTTGTGTGGAACACCTCAACATGACTTCAAAATGATCAGAATCTAGTATAGGATTGTGGCATATATAGCAAGTATTTGAATTTTAAAATGAGATGCTGGTAGACATGCAAGCTGATAAAACAATGGGAAGAGAAAGGTACACAAAAACATAACATTAAACTCACAAGGTTTAACAATAAACATGACAAAGTTTCATGAAAAGGGCACCACAGAAAAAAATCAAAGGAAAAGTGGAAACCTCAAACCCCATTAAAACTTAATGGCAAATTTCTCCGACCCTTCATGGGAGGGATGCTGAATCACTTTCTTGTACAAGTCATGTAGGAATACAGTAGCAGACTATGCAACGTAGCACACAGTCCCACTTGTTTGCAGCCACAAAGGCAAAATCCATAGAACAAAAAGGAAAATACGTAAAAAATGTAATGGAAGTTAGACTTCTAAGCAAGCTGTAACCTCCACAGACCTCTCTTTTGCATTCCCTCATCAGAAGATGCAATTTTCTATCAATTACTAGATATATGTGTCAGTGATTTTGTTACTCCAAAACCTAGACATGTAAGTGTAGAGCAACCAAGTTCCCCTCCAAAATCTTACCTGCCTGTCAAGCTTCTGCTGACGCAGGCTGCTCCCCTCATCATCCAGAACACTGCAAAGACAAAGATTGCATAATTGGAATAGATTTACCACTCAAAACAACACCCAACAGCAACCATTGGAGCGAACTCTTGCAGGCGCTATCCATCTAAAACTCTCACTGTATTTCACGGAAGTTCGACTGCCCTAGCTTGCAAAAGTTGGCTCAAGAGAACTTAAATGCAGTCCATGAAAACCTGAAAAACTCTGGTTCACATAAACTTCAATAAAAATACATATTCAGCCAGTTCACAAAGAAATGCAAAATCCACTGTCTATAGCTTTTCTGCTTCTCCGCTTTCTTCTAATGCAAAATGTATACAGCAACAGGGTTTGCTTAAAACTTGCATATAAAGCATATAAAGAGTGAGGAGCGTACAAGAGCTGCTTAGCAACTCAGCAGTATTTAAAACTACATTAGGAAAATTAACTGTCTAATTTTTGCACACTGAAAACCACAATTTATTCCTGAACATCTGAAGTCACACTAATTGCCACACACTCCAATGTGTAGAGACTGGCAAGACAAATAGCAGTGTGCACTGCCATATTTCTTTCTGCTAATTCGTGCTAGTTGAGAGATTAGCTCCTGCACATTCAATGACTTTCATTAATTAAATGTTAAAAACTAATGGCAGTGAAATCAGAAAATTCTTTTTGTGAAGTATTTTATCAAACTACTGACTATATTTTACTGGAGAACAAAGGCCTCTGCTGTAAGAACAGTATGGTTAAACATCGAAGACAGATAATTAAAGCTTTTAAACCTTAATATATCATCTACAAGAAAAACAGTTCTATAGGACAAAAAAATAGCCTCTTACAAGTAGGATTCATTTGCTCTTACAACACATCTTTATAAAAGATTAGCTCCCTTTTTATAATCACTCTTAACAACCAAAAAAAGAAATAAAAAGAAAAAAACCTAGGACAAATGAACCTGGATTCTGACCTACATGCAACTGAATTCTATTGCAATGGAAATTTAATTTTTAAAAAGTTACTTTCCATGTATTAATAGATACTCTTCAGGAGACAGCAACATTATAGTAGAGTTAGATAGCACAGCTCATAAAGGCAAGCAGAATGCCACCTTTCCAATGCCAGCATTATCAAAGACCTATAATTAGGCACTATTCGTAGCATCAGCCTTTCAGAAGTTATGCTCAGCCTGTATGTTACGAAAGGCTGATGTTCGACAGAAGGAAACTACACTGTACAAGTACCTCAGGTATGAAATTACAGTGTCTTGTAGAGGTAATGCATTACTCATAGTCCACAAAAAAAAAAGAATTAAAGAAAAACCCCCTCGCAGTCACAAAACTGTTTTGCTTTACAGCAAGCATGCTTGGTTTGATAAATTACAGACACAAGTTATAAAGGGAAAACAAACATTCCTCCGTGGTATACAACACCGTGGTTTTTTCAAGAGTGCTTCACTACAACTGCAATACATATTAGCTGCACTGCTAGAAAGGAAAACTATCCAAACAGATATCTTTGGCCAAACAATTGAGTAAAAGATGCCCAACTATAAAGTTTCAGGCTTAATGGCCTGAACAAATCCTCCTCATTTAAGACAATGCTCGAAAAAATGCCAAAACCATGTAATGATGCTAATACAGACCATAAGAACTGCAGAGGCAGCAATGAGTATACAGCTGTAATACCCAGAGAGGTCAAGAACCAGCATTGCTCCACTCCACCAGACATTTGCAGAGCTAAGGAGAAAACGCTGATCTCTCCTCACCTTCTGCTTTATAAATCTGACTATGCTGACTCTCTCAGATGAGTTAAATGAGCTATACATGCACCTCAGGCATTTCCATAAACCAGCAGTTCAGTAATTATCTTGTCAATGTAATGGTTTCCAGTATTAGGCTGGATTGGCTATAATTCTGAATTCTGTATCACAGATAAGGTACTTTCCCATGACATTGTTCCCTGGCATAATATACTGCACGGAACAAGGGAGAAATGTCCTTGGCTGGCTTCTGAGCCTTACTTGTGACTCTCTGGGAAGCCACAAGAAGCTAAATTCAGGTTCAGGTAAACAAGCACAGCTCCGCCAGGTCTCTTTAAGCCCAACCTTGTAATGGTAAACACGGCAGTTTAAGTAACACCACAGCTAACATCAGTCAGAGGAAAGCTGTGATTTGCATCGATTCAGCGTTCCATGAATGCAGAGCAACTAGCAGACACACCTAAGGACTGCCAAAGAAATGAATCTCCATCCAAAAACTGTGGATGCTGTAATGCTAAAACACCTCTCCATATTGCCCTTCTACTGCAAAACGTTGTTTTTAAAGTGTCTGAATATATGCAATCAAAGCTGACACCAAAAGCAGCATGCCTTGAAAACCAGCTGACAAGCTCGTCTGGAACTTCCAGGTCCTTCATCCTCTCACTTTGTATTTTATAAAGTTCTGGGTTGTTTTCCACAATCCTTTTGTAAATATGCATTAAATACAAGCCTTGCATTATTTAAGCCATAACATTCAACAAGTAAATTTAAACTTCAGCTTTCTTCAGTCATACCCATGTTCAGTGGAATAGTTATTTCAACAATTCTCCCCTCTCCCGATTACTGGACTTGGACAAGAAGGGTGGCCTTACTCCCACCTGACAGATACGTCACTCTCTTGAACCCTCACAGTGTAAAGAAGGCCTTAAAAAGAATCTCATTACCACCAACTCTGTCTATTTTAACAGTTACGCAAGGCCAGCATCAGTAAAAAGCTATAGCTCTGTTCCTTCTTGATGCCTAAATAATCATTACACAAGTCCAAATACAAAGAGAATCCAAGGCAGCCTATCCAACCTTCTGCTATGATAGCAGAGCACTCTATTTCAAGACTCTGTACTTTGTTAGTATTTTCTACAGACCAGTGGACCTTGGAGTTGCTGATTAGTAGCAAATATTTCACCTTCCCTGATTTTCAATGGAAGAACTTTGCTGAGACTGAATGAAACCCAAGATTTGCCATTAAAGGACAACAGGTTTTTTTAAATAAATAAATAAATAAATAGATGGATGAATGAATAAATAAAAAAAAATGAGTTTTGTTTTCTTATCAATTCCCGAAGGCCCTCACTCTTGCTGCCTTTAAAAACACCTGCAGCACACTTCAAGATGTGTAAACCACCACTGATCCTTTCTCACACTTCAGTGAAGCCTTGCAGAAAGATTTAGCAGACGATCTGGCAGTCTATGCCCTCTGACAGACGCTCCAGGGTCCAAGGTCTGAAATCCAGAGAACCTACCCTGTTTGCTTTGGAAAACACAAAACTCGAGGAGCAGAAGCACAGCCTTTGCCCCTGGTCTTTGAAAAGAACAGAAATCAATTGCTCTTTCCTCTGGCAGAGTTGTGTACATGCTGAGGACCCAGCCTATCCTGTCCAGTTTCAGAAGTGGCCGTGATTCTGGTACTACTCAATGGTCCAAGTAACTGTGATGGTCAGAGACTAAAGGCCCTGTACAGCTGATGGCAGTCACAGCGTATGGCTGTCACAGGGCAGGACCCCTGCAGGAAATAATCTTACAGAGAGAAAGGCTGTTAGAACAATTCTGCCTACATGTTTGATGTGATGCTAGAAAATCCTAGCAGCAGCATGAAATGCAGTCAGTTTTAATAGAGAAAAATAATTTTATAATTCATTAAACTGAATTACTGAAGAGAATGCATACATATTAGCAATCTCCTGAGCATACTGAAGCATCCTGCAGATCCAGCAGGGTTCATTTTTACTCTCTTTTGATCAAGTATCATGTATTCACCTGTGATCCACACTGTATCTACAGTCAGCAGGGACACTGTTACCAGATCAGGTTGCTCTGAGCCCCATCAAGCCTGACCTTGAATATCTCCAGGGATGGGGGGCCCGCACCACCTCTCTGGGCAACCAGTTTCAGTGATCTACCACCCTCATAGCGAAGAACTTTTTCCTAATATCCAACCTAAAACTACCCTTTTCTGGTTTAAAACCATTACCCCTCATACTATTGCTCGAGGCCCCAGTGAACACTTCTTCCCCAGATTTCTTATAGGCACCTTTCAGGTCCTGGAAGGTCACTATAAGATCCCCCCAGAGCCTTCTCTTCTCCAGGCTGAACAACCCCAACTCTCAGCCTGTCTCTGTAGGAGAGGTGCTCCAGCCCTGTGATCATCTTTGTGGCCTCTGGACCCGCTCCAGCACTTCAATGTCCTTTTTGTGCTGAGGACTCCAAAGCTGGATGCAATATATTCCTTCCAGGGAAGGCCCATCCATCTACACGTAACTTGAGCAACGCACCCATTAGAGCTTACTGGATCTGGATGTTATGCTTAAGAAGTCAAGCCTATAGGTACATATCTTAAGCACTCATATTAGCAGCCTGGCCCAAGGCTCACAGAGACTTAAGTATTAAATTTAGATAACATATTTTCACATTTTGAACATGGCATTAGATTAAAATATTACCACTTTCTATTATCTAAAGGGAAATACATTAAATGAAACCTTTTGTCAAAGATTACTTTTCATACACTCTTTTTAAGACACAAAATCTGTTTTACAGAGGCAGTTTCAACATTAAATTCAATTTACATAAAAATAACCAGGCTTTCTATACTGCTGCATGTCATAATGAAGACAAAAATATAAGCAAGAATTTTAGTATTCTAAGCTCTTCATAACCTGTATTCCTTAAAAATAATTTAGAGAGAAACCCAAGACCAATCAGGTTTTAAGGCTGAAGCTTCATGTAATCATGAGGCTCCATAAATTTATTTCTGAGATGAAGGCAGGAGCTTCTGTAAACCAACATCCTGCTACATTTTACTGTAACTCCACATGGACTGATTTCAACTTAAGTAAAATTGGAAAAGCCTTAATTCAAATAACCACACATTTCGCAGCAAGTACTTCACCTTTACTCCATGAACATGCAAACTACTCACATTTCAGTAAGCAACTGCAAGAAAAAATAACTAAGAAATGTTTTCGATTAGAATGTGCAAGATGCATGTAGTCACT